AAAAAACAAGTTTTTGGCTTTATTATAGCACATTGACAGCTATTTGACAGCTGCCAACTGTCAATTTTGAAAATCTAACAACAGATCTGAATTCAGCAACCTCAAAAATATAAACCTAGATAATAAAAAAAATGAAATAGGCTATTTCAAAAGTCTATACACACTGCGCATATACATAAATCCGTGGAGGATATTCGGAGCTTTAAAGCTCTGTACCGGCCAAACTATCCATTTTTGAGCTTTGTGGCCATTGAGACAATTGACCAGTATGATGAACTCTATCACATATCAAAAATTCAGCGAATTTGACCGGGACCCAATTTCCATAAGATTTGTGCGGGGTCCTTTAAAAAACTTATAATTAAGAATAACGTGCAATCTTCATGCTACAATTAAGATATAGTATAATACTTAAAAAGTTTATTGATTATTATAGATACGATTAAATAACAACTTTTCTAGCTTTTATTGTAGCAAATTCTTCGATAATATCTGTAGTGTTTTGTTCGTGATAGGAAGGTCTTAAAAAAAATCTTAAAAATAAATTAGTTTTCATAAAGAAAAATTTTGTTAACATAGTGGGAGCCCCTATTTGGTGCGGGCCTGTAGGCTGTAGCCTACACCAGCCTAAAGGTAAATCAGGCACTGGCTGTTGACAAAAAACTTTGTGCGCACAAATGTATTGAAGTACAAGAATACTATTTTGAAGGCCTAGTAATTTCATGTAAACCTATAAATAGGTATATTATATTTACAAATAAGTTATTTTTATTAAATCGGTAAAAGTTATGCATAAAAGTCAAGAGATCATTTTCATTTGAAATAAATTGTATTATTTAAAAATGATAAAGACATAATATATTTTCCTACGCCAATGCTTTGAGTCCTGAATATTTTAGATATTCAATCAATGATGTGATTCGTAATTGTAGGTATTTCAGGGAAATGAAATATATCTTCCATTTTATTCGAAAAGTGCAAATATTAGTGTTCTGAAAGCGCGAAAGCAGTTCTATACAAAATATGAAATTTTAAATTTTCTGAAAGAAAACAAGACAAATTTCGACGTGACTGAATTTTCGGAACTTTTAATGATTATGATATAGTTAGGTACAATAGCATGTGTATCGAAAAATCCTCTATTTTTATTTGTGCAGCAAACACAAACACGAATTTATTTCCGTTTTGTTTAGCTGTGTGCTCAATTTATTTTAGGGTAAAAAAAAGTCAAAAGTCAACAGTGATCGTCTCTATCCATTATCTTATTTTTTTTTAAATAAAAAATTCGTGAAAATATTACTAATTTTTTTGGTAAACTGGTAATTAGCAAAAAAGAATACCTACCAATTTTTTCC